ATTTCCAAACCAGTACTTTCCTATATCCTTTCTAAATCTAAACTTGTCTAATTTGAATCCATTATTTCAGGTTCTCTCCTGGAGAGATATCCTCAAGACCTTATTAATATCCCCTTTATTAATACCCATCTTCCACTTGTACACTACGATCATGTCTCCCCTTATTCTTTGTCTTACAAGTGAATGCAGTTTAAGGGACTTCAATCTCTTCATACGGAAGATTTCTAATGCAATGAATTAATTTTGTCATTCGTCGCTGAATGTTTTCTAACAAATTTATATCCATTCTGTAAAATGGAGACCAGAACTGAGCTGCATAATCTAGGTGAGACCTTACTAATGATGGAAATGTAAAGGACCCCAATGGAAATAAGTCACTGTCTGACTTTTTTGGGTTATCCTAGGTTCTCTACACATATGCTGCTTTGTATGATAATTCTATGTAACTGTATTTGTGTATACCTGAATAAACTTACTTACCTACCTACTTAGCTGAAGTATAACTGCTGGACTTCTGTTGCTTACACTTCTTGATATAAATCCCAGCAATCTGTTTGCCTTATTATGCACGCTTAGGTACTGCTGTCTTGGTTTAAGGTTGCTGCTTACCATAACCCCCAAATCCTTTTTGCATTCTATATGGCTAAGTCCAACATTATTAAGTTGGTAGGTGCTAGGGTTATGAACATTTCCGAGCTTTAGAACTTTACATTTATCTACACTGAACTGCATCTGCCACTTTTCTCACCGCAAATTGAGTTTGTCTAAATTCTTCTGAAGTTCCGAGACATCAACGTCTGAATCGATTATCCTACCTATCTTCGTGTCATCAGCAAATTTGCTTGTGTCACTAGTAATTCCCTCTTCAAGGTCATTTATATATATTATAAACAACAATGGGCCTAAAACTGATCCCTGCAGAATGCCACTTGTTACAGATCCCCACTCAGATTTAACCCCATTTACGCGCACTGCTTTCTATTAGTGAGCCATGACTTGATCCATGACAGCATTTTTTCCCCAATGCCATGAGCAGCCACTTTCTTCAACAGTCTCTGATGTGGTACTCTATCAAAAGCCTTACTAAAATCTAAATAAACGATATCGAATTCTTTATCCTGATCAACGGCCTCAAAAGCTTTGCTGAAGAAGGTTAATAAATTAGTTAGGCAGGAACAGCCCCTGATGAATCCATGTCGAGTATCATTGATCAAATTGTGCCTATCGAGATGGCTTCTTATATTATCAGCTATAATTGACTCTAGTAATTTGCCTACAATTGAGGTTAGGTTTATTGGGTGGTAATTTGATGGTAACGACTTGTCCCCTGCTTTAAAAATAGGAATTACATTAGCCATCTTCCATATATCAGGCACTACACCTGTTTGAAGAGATAAATTAAAAATATTAGCTAAAGGTTCACAGATCTCCATTTTGCATTCCTTAAGAACCCTTGAAAAAGTTCATCAGGACCAGGCGATTTATTTTACTTCAAACGGTCTATCTGTTTGATAATCATTTCACTAGTGACTGTGATATTACATAATTTATCTTCAGGCCCACTAAAAAACCTAATTATTGGGATATTATTAGTGTCCTCCTGAGTAAAAACTGAGAGAAAATAATTATTAAAAATAGAGCACATTTCATTCTCTTTGTCAGTAAGAACTCCATAGTTATTTTTAAGGGGACCTATCTTATCAGTAACTTTTGTTCTATACACCTGGAAAAAACTTTTAGGGTTAGATTTCAAATCCCTAGCAACTTTAATTTCATAGTCCTGTTTAGTTTTTCTTTTCCCCTTTTTAACATCCCTCTTAATGTCAATATACTGATTCATAAGAAGACCCTCACTTCTTTTGATAGGCCTATAAATGCCTTTCTTCTGCCCTAAAAGATACTTGAGCCTATTCATCCATTTTGGGTCATTTCTATTCGACCTAATTTCTTTATATGGGATAAATGTGCTTTGGGCAGCATGTATAGTGTTCAGAAAACTCTCATATTGATAGCTCTCTTCGTTACCCCAGTCCACAGATGACAAGTGTTCTCTAAGCCCATTGTAATCTGCTAAGTGAAAATCTGGGACCATTACTGAGTTATCCCTACTATCATACTTCCATTCAATGCTGAAGGTAATTGATTTATGATCACTTGTGCCGAGTTCCTCTGTAATTTCTAAATCATTAACTAGGGTTTCCTTGTTTGCCAGAACCAAATCAAGCAGGTTATTTCCCCTTGTAGGTTCTGTCACAAACTGCTTCAAAAAACAATCGTTAGATTCTAAATTCCCGGTCAAGAAATTCCACTCAATCTGACTAAAGTTGAAGTCCCCTAGAAATACTACGTTATCGTGCCTTGTGGCCTTAACAGTTTCCTCCCATAGTAGTCTCCCTTGGTCCCCATCTAAGTTTGGGGGACAGTATATCACACCTAAAATAAATTTTTCATGCCGATCTGAAAATTCTATCCAGAGAGAGACTGTATGTGTTATTTCAGATTTTATACCTGTTTTTATGCGACAGTTCAAGTGATCTCGGACATATAGTGCTACCCCACCCCCCTTCCCGATACTTCTGTCTACTTGGAACAATTTAAAACCCCGTATGTGACGTTCAGCAGGCATGTCCCGATTTTTCGTATTGAACCACGTCTTGGTTAAGGCAAATACATCAGTGTTACCTGCACTAGCAACTAATCCCAACTCGTCCATTTTATTCCTAGCACTTCGACTATTTGTGTAATATATATTTAGGGACCCTCCTTTCTTTTCACCCTTCCTGCTCCTTTCTTTTCTTCCACTATACCTATTACTGTCCTCGTTACCTGGAGAGAGTTCCGGGGGTAACGCCCCGGCGGCCCGGTCTGTGACCAGGCCTCATTTTCCATTTCTAAACCCATACCTCTAACTAGTCCTAGTTTAAAGTCCTAACAACACCTTTGACTGAGCTAGCAAGAAAACCCAAACCTGCCCTGGATAAGTGAACCCCATCCCTGGCATACATGTCATTTTGGCCATAGAAGTGGTCCCAGTTGTCGATGAATGGTACTGCATTATCCTTAGTGTTTGTCCAGCCAACAATTAATACCAGTTGCTATAACCATTTATTTCCAACACCCCTTCTTAGCAAAATGCCACATATAATAGGGTGCCCCCTTCTTCCTAATTATGTCTGTTGCTGTCCTGTACCTTCTAACTAAATCCTCACTTATACGCTTGCCTACATCATTGCCTCCAGCACTGAGGTAGGTAACAGGATTGACCCCATTACCATTTATGATGTTGTCAAGCCGGCTAACAATATCCTCCATCCCAGCCCCCAGGAAAGCAAACCCTCTGTCTTCTACTCCTATCCTTCAAGCAGAAGACCCTATCCATGTACCTAACCTGGCTATCCCCAACAACAACAACAACAACAATGTTTTTACCTTCCTTTGTGTCGTTCGTCGTAACGTTCCCAGTAATCAACTCGCATTTGTTGGGTAGCACGGAGAATGCATTAGATGTTTCCACAACAGTCTCTTTCTTCTTCATTGTTTCTACCTTTCCATTCGTCTTCTTGATCATTAACTTCATTCCATGCTGTCCAGTCACTGTCCAGGTTCCCTTCTTGACCTGAGGACTCGCAACAGGAGGACTACTACGAATCCTCTTGTTTTCCTCAGTCAATCGCCGTATCTCTATCTTCGCTATCCTCAGTTCCTCCTTAAGCTGCTGGTAAAGTTGCTTGATGGAGGCCATCTTGGTTCAGTCCACAGAAAGCACACAAGACACGTCTTCACAGAGTTAAGTACAGGTCACCACTAGTTGTATTTAAATGCTCTAGTTTAGTTTTGATGTGTGTGTGTGTGTGTGTGTGTGTGTGTGTGTGTGTGTGTGTGTGTGTGTGTGTACTCGCCTAATTGTACTCGCGTAATTGTGGTTGCAGGGGTCGAGACTCAGCTCCTGGCCCCGCCTCTTCACCGACCGCTACAAGGTCCTCTCTCCCCCTGCTCCATGAGCTTTATCATACCTCATCTTAAAACTATGTATAGTTCCTTCCTCCACTACATCGCTTGCCAGACTGTTCCACTTCCTAACTACTCTATGACTGAAGAAATACTTCCTAACATCCCTTTGACTCATCTGAGTCTTCAGCTTCCAATTGTGACCCCTTGTTTCTGTGTCTCATCTCTGGAACATCCTGTCACTCTCCACCTTGTCTATTCCACGCAGTATTTTGTATGTCGTTATCATGTCTCCCCTGACCCTCCTGTCCTCCAGTGTTGTCAGACCGATTTCCCTTAACTAGCCTTGTTGCAAACCTTTGCACTTTCTCTAATTTCTTGACGTGTTTGACCAGGTGTGGGTTCCAAACTGGTGCTGCGTACTCTAGTATGGGCCTGACGTACAGTGTATAAAGTCTTGAACGATTCCTTACTGAGGTACCGGAATGCTATTCTCAGGTTTGCCAAGCGCCCATTTGCCGCAGCAGTTATCTGGTTAATGTGTGCTTCTGGCGATGTACTTGGTATTATACTCACTTACTCACTCCTAGGTCTTACTCCTTGAGTGAGGTTTGCAGCCTTCGGCCTCTGTCTGCGGTCTTTGCCCTCCTCCGATCTTCATGACTTTGCATTTAGCGGGGTTGAATTCTAGGAGCCAGTTTCTGGACCACACATCCAGCTTGTCCAGGTCTCTTTGTAGACCTGTCTGGTCTGCCTCTGATTTAATTCTCCTCATTAACTTCACGTCATCTGCAAACAGGGACACTTCTGTGTGTGTGTTAGTTACCATTTTGTCCTAGGCACATGCCGATTAGACACTAGGCCTGTTGTATATGAGTACGTGTGTGTGTGTGTGTGTGTGTGTGTGTGTGTGTGTGTGTGTGTGTGTGTGTGTGTGTGTGTGTGTATTGTATAAACATTTTGTAGCTCAAGTACAGTATTCATGCACTATATATCCTGAAGTGATATTTATTTAGTTGGGGAAAAACATAAACACAACGTGCTTTTTTCAGGCTCAAAAATGTGCTATCAATGTAGAGCTGGTTGGTGATGACTATCGAGAACTGAGAGGAGAGATAGCTGGCCCTCCTGACACACCATACGAGGGAGCGACCTTTCACCTTGAAATAAAAGTACCAGAAACATACCCTTTTAATCCTCCTAAGGTAATTTATTTATTTAAGCATACAGGCACATAAAAAATTATTAAATAAAAAACGTGATTTAAATCACACTTTACTTTCAGTCCATTAACCTTAACCCTCACACACCACTGCTCACAGCACTATATGTCTCGTGTGGTTTAGTGCCTAGTTTTTAATATACAGTGGAACCTCGGCTTACGAATGCCCCACCATGCAAATTTTTGAGGATACGAACAGTCACTCGATCGATTTTTTGCTTCTGGATATGTACGAAATTTCAGGATGCAAACTTCCCCCTCAGGGGAGGTTCCTTGGTGAGGGGCTCTTGATCAAGGGAATTCAGTCTGTGCTCCACTTCCCTAAATTAATAATAATAATACATACATACTAATAATAATACGCTGCAGCAGGCCTGTTGGCCCATACTAGGCAGGTCCTTCACAATCCATCCTACTAACAGAATATTTGCCCAACTCAGTTTTCAATGCTACCCAAGCAATAAGCTTTGATAATTCTATTTACTCCTGTGCAGGTCCCACTCGCATCCAACCCCTCTCACTCGTGTAATTATCCAACACAAATTTGAAACTACCCAAGGTTTCAGCCTCAGTAACCATACTAGGCAGATTGTTCCACTCGTCAACATAACATAAGAAAGGAGGAACACTGCAGCAGACCTGTTGGCCCATACTTGGCAGGTCCTTCACAAATCCAGCCTACTAACAGAAACGCTACCCAAGCAATAAGCTTTAATAATCCTATTTACTCACGTGCAAGTCCCACTCAAATCCAACCCCTCTCACTCGTGTATTTATCCAACCTAAATTTGAAACTACCCAAGGCTTTAGCTTCGATAGAACCTTGGGTAGCTTTGAAACGAGATTGGACAAATATATGGGTGGGAGGGGATGGGTATGATTGGTGTCGTGGGTATATAATAACATTAGAAAGGAGGAAAACTGCAATAGGCCTGTTTGCCTGTACTAAGCAGGTCCTTCACAGATCCAACCCACTAACAAATAAACGTACCCAAGCAATAAGCTTTGACAATTCTGTTTACTCATCTTGACTGTGTGCTAATGGAGTTACAGGAAGCTGACATTGAAGAAATGCTGAACACTGACAGTAATGCACCTGTTGTGCATTCCTTGAGTGATGGTGAAATTAGATGAATTGTGATATATAAATAAGCTGTAGAGTTGATATTAGCATCATATTGAAGTATTTTGTCATGCCTCCTAAGAGCAGGAATTCCGCTGGAATGGATTAATGCCATTTCAATTAATTTAAATGAGGAAAATTGACTCAGCATACAAACAAATCGGGATATGAACAAGGTCATGGAAAGGATTAAATTCGTAAGCCGAGGTTCCACTGTACTATACTATAATAATAAGTTTTACACTCTCAGTTACTGCATATTAATTGATTCACAGGACAGTTTTAAACAAAATTGAAGTACTGTACAGTTGTCCCTACAAATTTGTGGGCTTGCTTTTTAGAGAGTTTTAGTCATTGAATGTTTTACTAATAACACATGAGTGATTTAGATTATCCAATTGTTTCCTGGCATTGCCCATTTTTTCAAGCTTGGTGCATGTCCCTTCAGTTGAAAACCAATAAGATTTCAGAGATATGCTTTTTGAAACAAAATGAACAGAAATCTGAAAAAAATTATGCAGACAATTTTATATGTGGTTTTTAGTTTTCCAGGACTTCTTCACAAACTTTGTTTCTAAAATGCATACATAATCACTACAAAATTAGGTGACATTTATTTCATACATTTTGAAAAACTCTGGCTATGTGAAGCATTTCGTGCAGAATAAAACTATAATATAAGCTGCTGGACATTTTATATATGCAGTGTTTAACCCTTAAACTGTCCAAATGTAGATCTGCGTTGACGTGCATAGCATTCCAACCTTTATTTTCCCCATTTGAAAGCATGTAAAAAAAAAAAAAGTAGATCTTCGTTTGGAGCCCCCCACATGTGAACGTAGATCTACGTTTGGACAGTTTAAGGGTTAAGTTATAGTGGAATTATATATAATGTCTTGAAATAAAATTAATTTATTATATATTATTTGAATGCTTAATTTAAAGTAATTAAGTTGTCTGAGGATTAGGTTGAAGTATTGACTAATATTAATCCATTCACTGCCCATTATATAGATCTATGTTATTGATGCCAGGGCCCTCATGTAGATCTTAGCTTAGAGCTCTGCTCCCTCAGATAAACTGCGAGCGGTAAATTTTGGCCCAGACATGAGAAAATGGGTTTGCGTTGCGAGTGTGTACGGTATAAAAAAAAATCCTACCTCATGTAGTGCATGATGGAAAAAGCAAAACTGACCTTTTTTGGTTTAAAATGGCAGTGTTGAGGTGTTTTCTGGGATAGTTTTTATGGTTTTATTGGCTTTTTCTTGGTATCATTTGTAGAATGGAAGATATAATACTGAAATAGAGGTGAATTTGGTTGGTTCCAGGAACAGAAGTAGCATGAAATCGACCTCAAACTAGCAGAAATGTTAGGTTTATGCCGATTTTGCTGAGGACAGACCTAGCCCCCTTTAAAACCCGTTGTCATCTGTTTTATGGGGTTTTACAAGCCTGATTCAATGACTGTTATACCGTAAACCATGACCAGTCGCTTCTGGTTATATTTTATTATCCAAGAATTAGGGTAAAAAATTAGAATTTTCTTAGCGACATACTCGTTTACCGACGACTTGGACTTACGGCGGGCTGATTTCCTCTATTCTGTTTATAACAATATACAGTACACTACTGTGTAAACATTTAAAAATATACTAGAAATGTTATAAATGGTGCAAAGGTGACACTAAAACAATACCAAAGATGGTTGAAACAAACCCACTACCATTACAGTTTGCTCCTCACTCAATGACTATTTCATTTACCGACAAGGTCTTAGGAACAAAACTCCATCATTAAGTGAGGAGAGGCTGTATATAAATTCAGAATGGTAGGATAGTGTAATACAGAAGAGCACCTGGGGATGTGATTAATTAACAGAGGAAATGTTAATTTAGTGCCTGACTTGTCTAGTGTTTATTTTGGACTCTGTTTTTAAACTGGAATTTTTTAAAAAAATTGTAAAATTGGCTAAATTTCCAATGTCTGTGCACTTTATAGGGTAGTTTTGATAGTTGAATGGCCAATTTCTTGGGCTCAGTTGATAGAACGGAGGCTATACTAGCAATGGAGTAGGCTTAAAATAGGACTCGGTGGGCAGAATAGCCCATATTTAAATTGGACCCATCAAATTTAATTTTTTTTCCTTTTTTCATAATTACCTTCAGAAGAAGATTCCCTACCATTTCAGAAGAATTTTTTTTTTAAATGTGGACACTGTGAGCACATGTTGGTGTCTGTGTGTAAGATAAAATTTTATGTATGAGAGAGCATGGTTTCTGGTTCAGTAATGTTTAGTTTAAGCAGCAGGATGATGTGGCTTAATGTATCAAAAGCTTTTCTTAAATCAGTCAAGAGATCCGCTTGATATTCATGGCTTTCTAGAGATAATTGATTGAATCAAGCATTTTTATTATTGCATCATTTGTAATTTTGCCTGGCCTGAAACTAGACTAGCAGGGGTTAAGAATATTGTTTAGTTCTATCCCAGTCACAATAGAAGCTATCTGTTGATCACCACATGTGGATATAGCCAACTGTAGGGATAATCTTAATGACCTAATCATAACTAATTAACTAAATAAACATCACTTAATTATCTTAAACCCTAACTTTACAAGAATTTGTAGGGACAACTGGACATTGCAGTTCTCCAAACACGCTTTTGGAAGAAAATGTAATTTGCACTTGAAAATGCAGTGAACAGCTACATGCATAAATGAAATTAAAAGAATGACTTGCAGGTGCAATAACATCTAGTGCTTCTCCTCCCCCCCTCTTTCCTTTTTTTTTGTAGCCTCAGGAGCAGACTGGTTTCCATCATCAGTAAATTTTTTCATCATATAATTTTTTATTATTTTCAGTGGTCGAAGTACTTGATTTAACCACTGTTTATGAAGACAAAATTTTTTCTCCTCATTTTTTTCGTCATTTTCAGCTGTGGCCTCTTATTTCTGCTGCAGGTACTGTACTAAGGCGGTCTTTTTATCTACTTTCACATCCTGTTTTTGACCTTGTATGTTTTACTTAGCTATGTTTTTTAGATCCCAAAAGCATTGTGCAAATGTTTTGAAGTAATCTCCTTTGATTTAATCAACATTTAACTGTCCACTAGCTCCTTTGTACACTCTTGACGAGGTTTTTCTGTTACTTTCGACAACTTGATCTAAACTCCTTTCTGATCATTTTCCTCTTAATTTACTCATATGCTTTCTGTCCAGAAGCAAAATCTTGCTTTAGTAGACTGGCTCATTCTAATGCTTCACTGTGTTTTAAAGAGTGAGATTTATTTTGTTTCCCTACTAATGAAAGAGCATGATGGTAATTTTACTCTTAATAGAATACCTTGTTATTTTAAATTTGACAATTTTGAAGTAAACTCGAGGAGCAATGGCGTTTTGTTTCCTCAAAAATGGTTGTGTGATTTAAATTACTGAATTTTTCACATTCTGTTCTACAGGTAAAATTTGTCACAAAAATCTGGCACCCCAACATTTCTTCAGTAACTGGTGCTATTTGCTTGGACATCCTGAAAGACCAGTGGTAAGACATTAGTTTCTAATTTCCCTCTTTTCAATTAATTTTTTTTACAAATCTTATACAGTGGACCCTCGGTTATTGACCGTAATCCGTTCCAGAAGCTCGGCCTAAAACCAAAATGGCCAAAAACCAAAATAATATTTCCCATAAGAATTAATGTAATTACCTGCTACACTCCCTGCATGCCTATTACACTCCCTGCATGCCTATTACACTCCCTGCATGCCTATTACACTCCCTGCATGCCTATTACACTCCCTGCATGCCTGTTACACTCCCTGCATGCCTGTTACACTCCCTGCATGCCTGTTACACTCCCTGCATGCCTGCTACACTCCCTGCATGCCTGCTACACTTCACGCTTAAATTCCATTGTGTTTATCACTTCCTTTGCCACAGGAACTTTACTAGGAACTTTCTTTGGAGCCATGGTTACTTATTTTGCAGTTTCACTGCAAAAAACCCACAAAAGACAATGGAAAACAAGCGAAATGTTTGGATATATGAGCAGAAGCTTCCTCACATACCGAAAGACACAGCCAAACTGATGCGCAAGCAGTCCCAGCCGGCGGACGGATGTGTCCCAAACGGCTGATCACCGAATTAACGGCCGATAACCGGGTGCCGAAAAAACGGCTGATCACTGAGTTGGCTGATAACAGAAGCGGCCGATAACCGGGCAGTATCACACAAGGCTACTGTAAAAATTTGCACTGCAAGTTTTTATTAAAATTACTCTGATCATTTGCTTATGCCAGTAACACTTCTCTTCATGCTTACAGTCTTTCCAGTCTATTTTTCCACTATGTATATTTGTAATTTTTTTTTGAGGAAAAAGCTGAACATAGTACATTATACTGTTTTAAACTGACTCCAAATGCCATACTACCAACAATAGAGGGGGGGGAGGTAAACAGTACAGAACAAATTTTTATTAGTACGTACACCATTTTATTTGTAGAACCTTTTAAAATCGTGACCTAATAAAGTATCCTTTCAAAGATACAGTACTATGTACCCCAGTCAGCTCTTCTAGCTTTGTACCACTCTCTCATTAACACTTAACCTCACCTATGGCATTTGTGCATGGGGCTCAACCACAGCAAATCACCTTAAGCCTTTAACCCTTTCAGGGTCGGCAGGCCCTCTCCTAAACTTGTTCTCACGGTTGGAAATTTTTTGAAAAAAAAAAATTATTTTTTTCTTATGAAATGATAAAGAATGTTTTCCCGATCATAATGACACCAAAAGTATGAAATTTGGTGGAAAACTTGTGGAATTAAGCTCTCGCGAAGTTAGTGGTCTTGACGATGTTTACGCATTGGCAATTTCGCCCACTTTGAGCCCTATTTTCGGCCATTTCCGATGTACCAGTTGACAAAAATCATAACTATTTCACTTGAACTCCATTTTTTTCTATCAAATGAGTACAAGATTTAAACTATCCAATAAAGTGGTCCGAAATTGGCAATTTTGCCAATTTCACACAAATTTCAAAAGATGCCAATTTCCAAATAGGGTTCAGAATAAACAAGACAGACATTCCTGGCGCTAAAATAACATTTCCTCTGTTCATTATTCATGTCCCCAGGCCTCTGTTACATTTCTTTTGCTTTCCACTTTGAATTTTCATTCTCACAAAAAATAGAATGTTTACTGTTATGCAGACTACTACATTAGTGTAGAAATGGTATAAATAATATCAGCACACTTGTGAAAGAATATTAGGCTCACCAGTTGAAGTGTATTGGACACATGGCTTGATTTATTTACTTTCGAACTTTGGCAAAAATCGAACATTTCTGCTACTTTGAACTCAATTTCAAGGTACAGTGGACCCCCGCTTAACGATCCCCTCCCAATGCGACCAATTATGTTTTTATTATTATTATTATCACACTGGCCGATTCCCACCAAGGCAGGGTGGCCCGAAAAAGAAAAACTTTCACCATCATTCACTCCATCACTGTCTTGCCAGAAGGGTGCTTTACACTACAGTTTTTAAACTGCAACATTAACACCCCTCTTTCAGAGTGCAGGCACTGTACTTCCCATCTCCAGGACTCAAGTCCGGCCTGCCGGTTTCCCTGAACCCCTTCATAAATGTTACTTTGCTTACACTCCAACAGCACGTCAAGTATTAAAAACCATTTGTCTCCATTCACTCCTATCAAACACGCTCACGCATGCCTGCTGGAAGTCCAAGCCCCTCGCACACAAAACCTCCTTTACCCCCTCTCTCCAACCTTATGTAAGTGCATTTGTACGTGTATGTTTGGGGGTCTGAAATGGACTAATCTACTTCACAGTATTCCTTATGGGAACAAATTCAGTCAGTACTGGCACCTGAACATACTTCTGTAATGAAAAAATATCGTTAACCAGGGGTCCACTGTACGTTTCTTTGTGAAACCAATAAAAATCATCTCAATTTCTGTAATATGTCTTCCATTCAACAAAATGAGACCAGGAAAACTAGAATACAACCATAAATAGCATACGAAAATACACTGCAAAGTCACTGTTTTAAACCAAAAACACGGTCGGAGTTTTTTTTTCTTATTAAGCACTGTGTGCTGCAGGATTTTTTTATACTGCGCACACTGACCACATAAACCCATTCTTTCATATGTAGGCCTACCAGCTTTCTCTCGCTAGATTTGAAGGCGCTAGAATTTATGCATACTAATACAGCACCAACCCTGCCGTGCAAGTCGTACTAGTACAGCACCAACCCTGAAAGGGTTAATAACCCAACAAAAAACTGCAGTGCGATTGATTACTAACTCCTGCATTAGACAACATACTCCACCTCTTTTCAAGAGTCTTAACTTGTTAAATATACAAAACATCCACACTTATTATTGTGCCTACTACATACACAGAACACTATACTCTAATGTTAACCCTCCTCTCAAACTCCTCTTTGATAACTATAACAGAACACACAACCATAATACGAGACACAGATCACTCTTCGATATCCCCCGTGTTCATCTCTCTCTATGCAAAAATGCTATTCACGTAAAAGGCCCGAAGATCTGGAATTCATTGCCAGAACACACTAAAGGACCCCTGTCTGCAAATCGGTTTAAGGCCCTAATAAGAAATCACCTCATCACCCAAAATTAACCAGACAAACAGTACCTAATCACACCCAGTTTCTCAAAAGCTACTCATATTGTGCTGATGAATGCTCAACCACTTACTACTTCGAAATTAGGATGTTCGTTTTTTCATTGTTTTAAATAGTAGTAGTAGATTGTAATACAGTGCATCATAATGTAAATTGTTCCATTGTAATACCAAATTTCATTGTTTTAAATAGTACTAAAGTGTAGTACATCATATTGTAAATTGTTTTAAATTGTTACATTGTAATACAGTACTGTAATCTTTATTAACTATTTTTTTTTTTTAATCACACTGGCCGATTCCCACCAAGGCAGGGTGGCCCGAAAAACAAAAACTTTCACCATCATTCACTCCATCACTGTCTTGCCAGAAGGGTGCTTTACACTACAGTTTTTAAACTGCAACATTAACACCCCTCCTTCAGAGTGCAGGCACTGTACTTCCCATCTCCAGGACTCAAGTCCGGCCTGCCGGTTTCCCTGAACCCCTTCATAAATGTTACTTTACTCACACTCCAACAGCATGTCAAGTATTAAAAACCATTTGTCTCCATTCACTCCTATCGAACACGCTCACGCATGCCTGCTGGAAGTCCAAGCCCCTCGCACACAAAACCTCCTTTACCCCCTCCCTCCAACCTTTCCTAGGCCGACCCCTACCCCGCCTTCCTTCCACTACAGACTGATACACTCTTGAAGTCATTCTGTTTCGCTCCATTCTCTCTACATGTCCGAACCACCTCAACAACCCTTCCTCAGCCCTCTGGACAACAGTTTTGGTAATCCCGCACCTCCTCCTAACTTCCAAACTAACGAATTCTCTGCATTGTATTCACACCACACATTGCTCTCAGACATGACATCTCCACTGCCTCCAGCCTTCTCCTCGCTGCAACATTCATCACCCATGCTTCACACCCATATAAAGCGTTGGTAAAACTATACTCTCATACATTCCCCTCTTTGCCTCCAAGGACAAAGTTCTTTGTCTCCACAGACTCCTAAGTGCACCACTCACTCTTTCCCCTCATCAATTCTATGATTCACCTCATCTTTCATAGACCCATCCGCTGACACGTCCACTCCCAAATATCTGAATACATGCACCTCCTCCATACTCTCTCCCTCCAATCTGATATTCAATCTTTCATCACCTAATCTTTTTGTTATCCTCATAACCTTACTCTTTCCTGTATTCACCTTTAATTTTCTTCTTTTGCACACGCTACCAAATTCATCCACCAATCTCTGCAACTTCTCTTCAGAATCTCCCAAGAGCACAGTGTCATCAGCAAAGAGCAGCTGTGACAACTCCCACTTTGTGTGTGATTCTTTATCTTTTAACTCCACTAATTCAATAGTATAATAAGTCTCTACTAGGCTTATAAAAACCATGTAGCATTACGTGATAGAATATTCAGTTCTCCTGTACTCACTGTAATCGTCTAATGACCATTTGAACTATTTTATTGCCTTACTATTCTTAATTTAAATGTTAAGTTTGCCTAAAATGCTCTGCATAAAAATTTGGGGTTTTTTGGCATGTACACCCAATATTAATTCCCTTACAACCATGAAATTTTGGGTCAAAAAAATTTAATCTAATTTCTCTTGATTATTTTTCCCTGCATCACTAAACTGAAAAAATATTGAAATGAGTAAGTATTTTGGGAGTGACATCTGAACTGTTGTTCGAGTGCATCTAAAAGACAGTATTGTGTAAATGTATGAAAGTGTTTCTTGTTTGCGTCACCCTGCCTCTTTTGGAAACTGAATTTGAGAGAAAAAAAAATATTTTTTAACAAAATTTGAATTATGGATGTAAACTTGAGTGTGGCTCGTGCACCCAGCATAACAGCCTGGTTGATCGGGCCCTGATCCCCCCAGGGGCCTGGTCACGCCCGGGCCGCAGGGGCGTTGCCCCCCAAAACTCTTCCGGGAAATACTCCAGGTAAACATGCAGAAATTTTAAAAATTTTTTTGGTTCCAAAATCCAAAAAATTTGGTTTATCCCAAGGGAGCAGCAATGACTTTGCGAAAGTACTACTTTCCTTTCAAACATTGCTGGGAGC